CGTGCTATGATTGGCATTGATTTTTGGGGATCGTGAATTTGGTCAGGCAAACTAGCAGTGTTCCTTGAGGATTTCAAAGATCTCTAAAAATCCATATTCTATCTCGTTATTTCCCAGCAAGCGCGAATAGCTTGAACGCAGCTGTATGCCCAGACAGCTGAACAAAAAGTGACTAGAGAACCCCCGCGGAAAGTTTGACGAAACTCCGAGAGAGAGAGAGAGAGAGAGAGGGAGGGAGAGAGTGAGAGAGAACGAGAGAACCTAGCGCTACCGAGCAAAGCCTAGAGATCAGGCCCCTGTCCGAGAAAATAGAGAAATCCAGGCGGCTCCCCTGAACCTCGTGGAATGCTGGAGGACCGCCCACATCTGGGCCCCCGGGTTCTGGGCCCTGGGCCTGGCCATTCCTTGGATTTCCGGATTTCAACCCCTCTCCTCTCATCCCCCTTTTGCGAAATGGCCGATCAACCCGTCGCTGGTGAGCCTTTTTTTTTGAGAGGTTCAAACGACTTACTGTTAAGCTGAAGCCTGAGCCTAAGCTTACTTTCAGAGCCAGCGCCCGCTGATGCTCCAGCAGCCGAAGCCGCTCCGGCCGAAGCCCCTGCAGCCGAAGCCGCCCCATCTGAGCCCGCCGCCGCCACTGAAGCCGCCCCCGCAGAAGCCGCCCCAGCCGAAGCTGCACCTGCCGAAGCCCCAGCTGCCGAAGCCGCCCCCGCCGGTAAGTGACTGTGGTAGACAATCAACGACATCAAACCGTGCTCAAGTAATAAGGATTGTTCAGAAGAAGCCGCCCCAGCTGCCGAAGCCGCACCAGCGGAAGCCGCCCCTGCAGAAGCCACCCCTGCTGAAGCCGCTCCTGCCGAAGCCGCCCCAACTGAAGACGCCCCAGCCGGTAGGTGGTTGTGGTAGACGATCAATGTTAGCAGATCGTCTTCAAATTATGCGAGTAATTTAGAAGCGGCTCCAGCTGAAGCCGCAACTGCTGAAGCCGCTCCGGCCGAAGCTGCCGCTGTTGTCGAAGAGATCCCTGTCCAGGTTGAGGAAGCCCCGACGACTGAAGCTGCGCCAGGTTTGGCTAGAGCGTATTTTAAAATTAAATTCTAGAAACCGCTGCTGATGCTGCTGCCGCTGAGGCCGCTCCCGCTGAAGCTGCTCCAGCTGCCGAGGCATCCGCCCCTGCCGCTGAAGGTGAAGCCCCGGTAGTTGAGGAGATCCCCGTCAAGGTCGAGTCGGCCCCAGTGACCGAGGGAGCACCAGGTAGGGAGGAGGACATTTTCTGGAAAGCCAATAAATTCAGAAGCCGTCCCTGCTGAAGCCGCACCGGCTGAGGCCGCCCCTGCCGAAGAAGCCGCTGCCGCTGAAGCTGCTCCATCTGAGGCTCCTGCAGCCGAGGCATCTGAGCCCGCGGCTGGTAAGTTTTGATTCTATATCGCAAGATCTGGTTCGATCTCTCTGAATCTATCACTCGCAGAAGCCCCAGCCGCCGCCGTCGAAGAGGTGCCCGTCCAGGTTGAATCTGCCCCAGTCACCGAGGGAGCACCAGAATCGGCCCCAGCTGAAGCCGCCCCTGCTGAAGCTGCACCCGCCGAAGCCGCGCCTGCTGCTGACGCTGCTCCAGCAGAAGCCGCCCCTGCTGCTGACGCTGCTCCAGCAGAAGCCGCCCCTGCTGCTGACGCTGATCCAGCAGAAGCCGCCCCTGCTGCTGACGCTGCCCCAGCAGAAGCCGCTCAATCTGAGGCCCCCGCTGCTGATGCTGCACCGGCTGAAGCTGCTCAATCCGAAGCCCCTGCTGCTGAAGCCGCACCTGCTGAAGCTGCTCCCGCGGAAGCTCCAGCTGCTGAAGCCGCACCGGCCGAAGCTGCTCCCTCTGATGCGCCGGCGGCCGAGTCTGCACCCGCCGCCGACGCTGTTGCCGCTGAAGCCGCTCCCGCTGAAGCTGCTCCCGCTGAAGCTGCTCCCGCCGAAGCCGCAGCTCCGGAAGCCGCACCTGCAGCTGGTAAGCTAGACTTTCCCACATAATCACTGCTAGCCTGCCTTTAAAAATTTCGAGACAGTTTTGTCGATTCTAGATGATTTTTACTTTTTACTTTACGGATTCTTCGCCGCATCTTTGTTCTTTTTTAGAAGCCGCCCCGGCCGAAGCCGCCCAAGCCTAAATCGCCGAGGATGAAATCCGTGAATTGCCTTCGCCTTATCCGTTCCTTTCATGTACACATCGATACCATTTACAGTCGTCAGCCCCGTTGCTCTCCGCTCGGTTGCTCGATTTTGCATTTTTAACGGTGCTCTCCCCCATCCGCTTACTGCTCTGATCGCTTTGCTCTCGCTCTCGCACTCCCCGACTGCTTTTTCGTGTGCTCGCTACGCCCCGGTTTTTTTTGGCTTTTTCTGATTCGCTGAATAAATTCTTTGCTTTGTATAGGGGTTGGCAAAATATAGCTAAAAAAGAGATCTATTCTTTCAGAAACGGGGGACTAACTTCTTCCCTATTTTTGTAAAACAGCTAGAAAAAGTGTTTGTAAACCGTTTTTTATTATTTCTAAGCTCAAAAATTTACACATTTCTGTTATAGTATACGAAAAATCGATTTTTCGGCAAAAATGCGGTTTTGTAATTGGACAAAATTTTTTATGAAACTATTAAAACCTGCTGGACTTATTGGAAAAAAATAGCCCCCCCGATAATGCAAAAGAACGAGACGTAAATGTTTCCAGTTCTCTCTCTCTCTTTCTCACCCTCTGTCTCTCACTCTCTCCCACTCTCTCCGACTCTCTCTTTCTCTCTCTCTGCCTCTCTCTCTCTCTCTCTCTCTCTCTCTCTGTCTCTCGCTCTCTGTATCATTTTATGCAAATTCCAGCCATAAATCCATTTCTTCAATTGTTTATCAGCAATCTGTACACGTAAAAATTTGATAGCAAACAGAAAGGGACAAACATGGATGCTTGCATTTTCCAATGCCGCGGTAGAAAGAATAGAATATTCAAATTGAACACATCTCAAATTGAAAAACGGGGGTCATGGCGTTCAGGCGAAATTAGAAATTAGCATAAGATTGCATAGGCATCATCATCATCATCATCAACTGTTATAGTTTGTGGCGGGGGGTTAAAGCATCGGCGTGGAGTGTAAGGGGGATTTTTGCGGGCAATTCAAAGTTAAGTTATTAGGGTTAAATAGAGGCTAAAACCGATGACAAAAAAATAAGTGAAATGTGGTGGGGCGGACATAAAATACGCAAAAAAATTGAATTTACATTTTTACAAGTTAAATAGCCAATTTCGGCAGAGAAAAGTGGTAAATTTTGACATTTCAAGGTTAAAATTTAGCTTGATTTTTGTATCTTTTAGCCTAGAAAAATCGATTCAAGCTTTAAAAATTGAAAAACTCGGGTAAAGAAATTCCATTTAATTTTGCATATTTGAATAAAAAATGGAACAATAAAAAAATTGAATAAAATCACAGAGGCGAGTATCGGCTGGTTGTCTCGGCGCGAGCGGGGGATATATAGGTTTTTTTTCTCTAGCGTTCCAAAGTATCATCAGGTCCATCGAACACTTATTGCCAGGTTTTTGTACAAAAAAAAAATAGAAAATTAGCATAATATAAATAATATTAATTCACGAAAATATGGCATCGATGCGTGCGAGAGGGAGGGACGGGGAAACTGAGTTTTCGGGGAGCTTTCGAGGAGTGGCTATTAGTGCGTATTGCGCCTGGGGACTTTATGGCGGGAATGAAATTTTAATGTGAAGAGGAATTTGCAAAGTTGAAGCTTGTAGGCAAAGCCAAGTCAAAGCTTAAGCCTAAGCCTAGGCCACGCTTAAGCCAATCATAAGCCTAAGCCTAAGCCTAAGCCTAAGCCTAAGCCTAAGCCTAAGCCTAAGCCTAAGCCTAAGCCTAAGCCTAAGCCAAGCCTAAGCCAAGCCTAAGCCAAGCCTAAGCCAAGCCTAAGCCAAGCCTAAGCCAAGCCTAAGCCAAGCCTAAGCCAAGCCTAAGCCAAGCCTAAGCCAAGCCTAAGCCAAGCCTAAGCCAAGCCTAACAAGGGAACCTCACGGAGACATGGTGGAATTTCGGAAAACGCTCGCGGCTACCCCCGGGTAATCGGCCATTGCGATCACGATGCGCTTGTCAGATTTTTCTAAATAGACCTGTGGACAGAGATACAGCACTTCCGGAAAATGTTGATTTACATGCAAAAAATTTGCATTCAAGGATGGTTTATGAGGCTCTCCCATCACTATGGAATCACCAGTTGAATGGCCGAGTGGCAAGCGACTCGCTTGGTAGGATTCTAACGAGGGTTCGAATGCGCTCACGATTTTTTGTTTTTGCTTTTTGGCCAGTGGTTTTTGTGCTGGTACGTGCTAAAGTACTTCTTAATTTTAAGACAGTTGTCGACGTTACGTGGACAGAAAATTATTCTTGTAAAATTTTTTTCATTTTTTTTGCAGATGGTCAGGTGTGGAAACTCCAGCCGGCCGATCTGATTTTAATTTTTCGAATTTTTTGACCTTTGATGGTTAAAGATGGAAGATAACGCCAACAGGGATTTCGGTTTATTACTAGTAACATTCTGGACTTGTACAACAATCTCTGGCCAAAAAGCAAAAACAAAAATCGTGAGCGCATTCGAACCCTCGTTAGAATCCTACCAAGCGAGTCGCTTGCCACTCGGCCATTCAACTGGTGATTCCATAGTGATGGGAGAGCCTCATAAACCATCCTTGAATGCAAATTTTTTGCATGTAAATCAACATTTTCCGGAAGTGCTGTATCTCTGTCCACAGGTCTATTTAGAAAAATCTGACAAGCGCATCGTGATCGCAATGGCCGATTACCCGGGGGTAGCCGCGAGCGTTTTCCGAAATTCCACCATGTCTCCGTGAGGTTCCCTTGTAAGCCAAGCCTAAGCCAAGCCTAAGCCAAGCCTAAGCCAAGCCTAAGCCAAGCCTAAGCCAAGCCTAAGCCACGCCTAAGCCAAGCCTAAGATACAATAACCATTAATGCGTGGGTAGTCGATGGCGGGCGATGCGTAGCCGTACAGTTGGGTGCTGCTTGATGAGGTTGATGGCTTCTTCATGGGAGAGACCACGTGTATCGGTGCCGTTGATCTCCACCAAGTGGTCGCCGACACGAAGACGTCCATCCGCAGCTGCCGCGCCGTCCTGCAAAAGAGGAATTCAACGAGATCAAGTAGTTCATGAGCCGGTGAAGAAAAATCCATAGGTTTGGAACTGCCCCAGCTACTTAAAAGTTTGCCAACAAAATCCATAGCCATGCCTTTCCAGTCCCTTTAAAAGGCTACTGTAGCCCCTCACTCACCTCAGCGATCCGCAGCACGAAAAGCGGCATCTTGCCAAACTCGTGGCCTCCTCGAATCGAAAAGCCGAAGCCCCGCGTCCCTCGTTCCAGCTCCACCATCAGGTCGTCCTCCTGAAAAGTGATGCTCATCCCTTGAAAACAATCACTTCGGTCCCGCCACGATCCCCAGGGTATACGGTAGCGTGTTAGGGCAGCTTGGTGTAAAAGGGGAGAGAGGGCAGACAGGCAGAGGAAATGGGGGAAGAATGGAAGTGGCGACACACATTCACGAATATTTTTTGTTTTGGCGTTATTTCGATTTAAGCAATCATAATGGATACAGCAAAAACGCAAAAAATCAATTCATTGATGTATAAAAATTGACCAAAAAAGTATCGTTTCTAAAATTTAAAATTTGATAGATTGCAGATTCAAGCTTTGAGGAATTTACGATACGTTTTTTAATGTTTAACATATTATCACCCTTTTATTTTTTTAGGTAGCCAAGATTTTGCCTTTTAAAGGGCCCTTGAACGCCGGAATCCACAGATTCTCAGCCTTCAACCGCCCTTCAAGCAAAATTCTGCTCCGCCGAATGTCCGTCAAGTTCAAGGCGTACAGGCAGGGGAATTCCATCACCGGTCAAGGGTCCCGAAACGAGCGTGTGGGTTACGGTAGGCCGTTGCAATGGCTTGGAAATGTAAATTTAGGGCCTAAAAGCGTTCGCCTAAGTCTAAACCGAAGCTAAGCCGAAGATAAGCCTAAGCTAAGCCTAGTTCTAAGCCTAAGCTCAAGCCTAAGCTAAGCCTAAGCTAAGCCTAAGCTAAGCCTAAGCTAAGCCTAAGCTAAGCCTAAGCTAAGCCTAAGCTAAGCCTAAGCCAAGCCTAAGCCAAGCCTAAGCCAAGCCTAAGCCAAGCCTAAGCTAAGCCTACACTAAGCCTAGGTTAAGCCGAAGCCAAACTATCAGCCTAATCCTAAGTTAAGCATCAGCCAAGCATACAACAGCTATTACAAGCAGCTAAAGGGTAGTGGGGATGGCCAGCGAGCAGTGGTCGGGAGTCGAGGGGGTAGCTTCATTCGCGTTCGCGCACTAATGGCCGTACCCCTTGGCTGGGGCGGCGGAGATGTGGATGGTTCCGACACGGCGATCCCCAAGAATTCTCGGCTCTCCTCGTACTCGTCCAACACGCTCGCCTGCGCCAGCGCACGCAGCAGCGACTCGCAGCTGTCCTTGGGTGGGCGATTTTTTTGAGTTTTGGTTTTTGAGGTACGGTAGATTTCAGGGAGCACGGTAAAAATTAAACAAGAGGGAGATGACAATGGGAAAAGGCGCTAAAAACTGTGCTAAAATGAGTTTTTTTGACTGTACAGAGGCAAGACAGCAGTGTTTCTTGAGAAAATTTAAAGGTAATTTTTTTAGGAATTAAGAATCCTTGAAAACCCTCAAAAATGACAATTATAGAATTACAGTAAGCGATGGCCATTCCTAGCTGCGGGACGAACCAAAAAAGGGACGAGGACGGTGCTGAGGAATTGGGGGGATAATTTCCGGGCGCTTACTACGCACGATATTGTATCCTTTTTATCCCGTCGAAAAATGGTAAAACAAAAATGCCGACAAGCTATTTTTCTTTATGGAAAAACCATGTTATCCTTCACAACATATTAATGTTTAAAATATCGAAACGGCCCTAAATGAGTTTAAAACGCTAAAAAATATCAAAACAGGTTTTGAAATCTGAAAAAGTCGAAATTCTAATTGTTAAATGTCTAGAGTTGAATTTTAATATCTGCCGAAAGTAGATATTAGAATTTGCAGATGTCGAAAATTGCCTTCATAAACGTAAAAAATGGCAATCACTTTTTGATAATTTTCGCTGTTTATTTTTGCCTTGATTTAAGTGCAATTTTATGAAATTGGAATTTTCGTGCGCAGTAGCAACCCGGAAATCGCCTCAACCTAGATATATCTGGATGGGAGGTGTGTGGAGGCGGACGACGACGGTGATGTACAAAGGACAAGGACGGAATTTTCAGCAAAAAAAAAGTTGTAAAAATTAATGATACCTGGTGGCCGGGAGGGGCAGCGTCGTATGGCGAATAGCCATTACTGCGCATGGCGGAGTGGATTGGAGGGGGCAGGGTTGAGTGTGATGGTGTCTAAAAAATAAAATTAGCATAAAAATGATCGTAAAGGTTGTTAGAAGGTAATTTATTTTGTGTGATAATACCTAATCAATAATAACGAAATTCGAATTTTGATATTTAAAGGAAATGGGAAGGCAAAAGGCAAGGTAAAATACAGAAATTCAAAAAACACGACCCACCTGTTGTATAGTGCTGTAGCCACCGTATACGGGCGTGGGGTGCGAGTAGCTGGGGGCATAGGTGGGTCCCGCGGCGCCTTTCGGCATCGCCGGGCCGGTGTCTTGGCATACGGTAAGGCGGACGGTTAGGCCGGCGTTCTGAAGAAGTAAATTAGTTCGGAACATTATCTCTCTCTCTCTCTCTCACTCTCTCTCTCTTTCTCTTTGTTTATCTCTCTCGTTCTCTCACTATTCCTAAAGCTCTGTTTCCCACTCTCTCTCATGGTCTCTCTCTCTCATGGTCTCTCTCTCTCTCTCTCGCTCTCACTTTCTCTCAATTTCTCTCAGCATAAATTCTCCTCACCTTGATCAAGTTGACGATATCCGCATGCGGCAGCCCAGCAATGTCATTCCCATTAACTCGCAGCACCCGATCGCCCACCCGTAGACGACCACAGCGCGCTGCCGGCGAACCGGGGATTAGCTCGCCAATGTTGGAGGCTCTCCGCACCATATTGGACAGGATGACAAAGCCGAAGCCCTCGGTTTCTTGGCTAAATCAAAGGTTTTTTGTGTTTTCTGATTAATGGATACCGTTCGAGTACTACGTCGTACTCCTGGGCAATATTTCCGGCATGTGGGCTCATGGAAGGGGGAAGTGAGGCGGAACGGGCGCTGTCGATGCCTGGAAGAATATAATTTAAGCGTATTAAGGGTAAGAAACGGAAAATGAGAGCGAGAGAGTGAGAGAGAGAGTGAGAAAGAGAGAGAAAGTGGGTGACAGAGAGTGCGAGAGACAGACTAACTAACCATTCATCTGATGCCTCCTGACCAGCAGCTTAACGTGCTGCTGCCGCGCGGCCTTTTCGAGCAGTCCAACCGCATCTCCATGCGCCGCTCCCTCCACGCTGACACCGTCGATTTCCATGATCTCATCACCTGAAAAGGTAGAAGCTAATGATTGTAACAGAGAAAAAAAAGAGAGGGAGAGAGAGTGAGAGAGAAATGGAGAGAGAGAGAGGGGGGGAGAGCGAGATGGAGAGACATACCTTCTTTCAGCCGTCCATCATCAGCTGCAGCCCCGCCAGGTACAATCTGGCCAACCGTCAGCTGGGTGCCGGTCTGGAAATTTTAAATTTTCAACTTTCACTTTGACGAAATTTTACAAGAATCCTTAAAGAAGTATTTCCTACCTCATTCCCACCCAACAATCTGAAGCCAAAACCTTGTGGTTTTCGAATCAAATTAACCGTCATGTGGTTGAAAGGCTGGTCCATCTAAAATCATTTTGAAGCCGCAAATTGTGTTTTAAATTGTCTAAAAAATGATTAGGTTTTGAACTTAATGGGGATTTAATAACTGATTCTGAAATGTTGAAAGCCATTAAATAAGGTCATTTCGATATGATTAAAGGGAAGATTTAAAAATCTTAAAATTTAGCTGGAGTTATAAATATTTAAAAACTGTTTTAAAAGTAAATCATAAAATTATCGATTTAGAATTTGTAAAAATAGTTTTTAATCCTCTTGGAAAACGTTGTAGATTCAAGGCAGGCAGGTCAGGAATGTCAAACCAAAAAAATTTAAACTCTGGGAGCCGGAAAGATAAAAACCGAAAGACAGGGCGGTCAAGGTCAAAATTAGCATGAGAAAATGGGCGTGTTGGGGTCGGGGCAGACCTGGAGGGCGGCTAGCGGCATGTAGTTGGGCGTCGTGGAGAAGCCGTGAAGGGAAGCCGAGCCGCGCATCGAGCCGTATCCCCATCCGGGTGTACGGTGGCGGAGGTGGAGTGCTGCAAAAAGCCGGCCCGTCACAAAACACTCCACGCAAAAATTCAAGGTTTTTTTACTGGATAAGCGGCAATAGCTACAAGAAATTGGCTTGATGATCTACTGAATTTGCAAGAAGTTGAGAGTGTCTAAAGCTAGGATTAGGTTAAGCTACCTAAGTCCAAATCAAAGCCTAGGCCGAAGCCTAAGCCTAAGTCTAAGCCTAAGCCCAAACCTAAGCCTAAGCCTAAGCCTAAACCTAAACCTAACAAGGAGACGTTTTTGAGTGTCGTCGAGACTTTGGCACGGGACCAAGCCTATCTTGTGCAGAATTTTACGCTGATTCCGAAATGTTAGCCGTTTTTGCGGAATAGCCATTTCTCGAACGTTATGAACAATTTAAACCTCAAAACAGCCCAAAATCGGCTACTTTCGATAGTCATAAAAGGCTTCGGAATAGGTTTTTTAGACAAAACTTGATAGTGCATCTTGTTCAGAAAAAAAATTCTCTATAAAATAGGCTACTTAACTCAAAAATTCTGGAACTTTGAAAATTTTTGTAAAATTAATGGACCTCCCAATTTATCCAGTTTTTCAAACTTTTCAATGATTCTGGAAAAGATGGTACATTTTATAGAGAATTTTTTTTCTGAACAAGATGTACTATCTGGTTTTGTCTAAAACCTATTCCGAAGCCTTTTATGACTATTGAAAGTAGCCGATTTTGGGCTGTTTTGAGGTTTAAATCGTTCATAACTTTCGAGAAATGGCTATTCGCAAAAACGGTTACCATATTCAGAATCAGCGTAAAACTCTGCACAAGATAGGCTTGGTCCCGTGCCAAAGTCCCGACGACACTCAAAAACGTCTCCTTGTAAGCATAACGTAACCTAATAAGTCTAAATGTAAGCCTAAACCAACTAGTAAGTACGTCTACTAAACTTTCAAGAAATTGAGCGGGTTCGGAAGAGCGACGTCTTCGGCGAGTTCAGCTGATTGCGATGCTCAGCCCCACAATTTTGAGTTTTGATTTTTTGGTATAGCTCTAGCCTAAATTTTGTAGCGCCTGCAAAATCTAATGTTCTCGCCCGACTAGGTTTCCTTAATTCGCTAATCTGGAATTTTGTAGTCTAGGTCCCTCCAATAGCCGAAAAAAGCCAACCAAAAAATAGTGTGAGATGGGGGAGAGGGGGAAGAAAGTGCGGTAGATGGCAAACGAGCGGAGGTGCAGATGGAAGTATTTGAAAGGTATACCCGATTCAGCGTATTCGATCGATAATCCGGCTGTCGGGGCATATTCGGAGCGGGTGTTCTGCTACGGGCCGCTTGGGATGGGGTGGGTGTGATGCCGCCCTGCTGACCGTACCGGAAACCTGCGACCGGGGTTCGAGACCTGAAAAATTGGGGTGAAAGGGAGAGGGAGCGAGAGAGAGAGAGAGATCTGAAATCAAGAGATGTTCCTCTACCCACCGATTCTTTGTGGCGCTGATTCGCCGAACGGCTAGCCGACCGCGGTGGCCAACCGGAAGTTCGCGCAGCATATCGACGAGTTGCGTATGGGATACCCCTCTCACGTCCCGCCCGTCCAGCTCGCAGATGACGTCGCCCTCCAGTAGGTTCGGGCACTGCGCCGGGTAGATGATCTTCCGAACGCGCTGGCCCTGAAGGGACGGTGGTTAAATTATTGTTTTGATTTTTAGATCTTAATTTAAATCTTGAACACGCTAAAACCTTACATTAGCATTATCAGCAATGGTGAAGCCGAACCCCTCGGTGCCCTTGGTGATGGAGATGTCGAACAGGTCGTCATTGCGATGGCCATCGTAGACGGATTGGGTGACGATACGGTTGGCTGGGTCGATTACTAGCGGGTAGCCACGGCACACTTCCAGGTCGACAGGCTCGCCCTGCGGGATTGAGACGAAGATCTGGCACGCGTCCGCCTGAAAGTGACCAGGTTTTCGAGTTCTCAGTCTCTCTCACATTATCGCTCTCTCTCTATCTCGCTCTCTCTCTATCTCTCTTCCTACCTGTGTCGCGCCAAGCAGCAAATTCTGGTTGACCCTGACGAGGACATCGCCCGGCTGGAGGACACCATTTGACGCAGCTGGACCTCCGGCAAGGATGGATTTCACCTGAAAAAGAATTTAGAATACTTCTCTCTACCCAAATATCTTCAGCACTGACCATAGCCATGCTGGCCAAGGCGCGGAAGGCGTCGGAATTGAATTTACTGGGCGCCCCCCTCCAAACGGCCATCCCCTTTTTATACTTGCCATAAAGGGCCGCCAGGCGCTCCCTTTCTTGGGCCCTTGAATGCAGCCGAAATTTGGGGAAGGGAGGAGGAGCTGCGCGGAATATTATTAGGGGGGCCGCGTATGGAGGACGGCTAGGATATATGAATCTGAGGATTGAAAATAGGTGAAAAAGAGCAGCGGAATGTTCAAAAAACTACTAGGAGCGCATGGTTTTCTCTCTCGCTCTCTCTTTCTCTGTGTCTCTCTCCCTCACTCTCTCTCTTTTTCTCACACCAATAACTCAGCAACTTTTGACCGTCGTCCATCCAATTTTTGGTTTCGCCGTCGGCTAGTCGCTGGGCCTCAGTCTACCAAGGCCTAGACCACAAAATTCAATCGCACATCCAGAGACCCCAAAAGTCATTTCCGCTGCTGAAAAGGGAGGGGAGGAGAAGGAGGAGGTCCCTAAAATTGGCCCACCACCCCCCTCCCCCTTCCCCCGTCAGAGCTGGGTCTTCTAATTAGACGGGAACCGCTCAAAAACGGTTGGTCATAGGAGCGAGAGAGAGAGAGAGAGAGCGAGATAGAGAGAGAAAGAGAAAGACAGAGAGAGAGAGAGAGAGAGAGAGAGAGAGAAAGCGAGAGAAATCTGCAAAATAAGTTAAAGCGACCCGTGTTTGTGTTCACGATCCCTTTAAACCCTCAAAATCCTCACCTGAATGAATTCATCCCCTTTACTACTCGCGTCATTCCCGATCAACGTGAAGCCGAGCCCTTTGGGACCCTAAAAATCGAAAATTCCGATAATTACGATGGGTCATACCTTAATAATGGTCGTCCTCAATATCTCGCCCCTCAACTGCATGGGGTCGGTGGTGAAATAGGGATTGTGGCTGACCGCCATCCCGCCCATCATCCCCGCCAGGTCACGCCGCGACATCCGCGACCCGGGCGACGAGTCGTGGCCGTTTACCTGAAATGGGTTACTTGCTTTTAACTCTATTTGTTTTAAGTATTTTTATGGTTTTCAAAGAAACTATTCATATTTGGATTTTGCTGAATTTAAAGGGAATTTTGGAAGGCAAAAATTGGATTTTCAATTTTGGTTCAAAATTTTTCGCACAACTTCAAAAATGCCTAGCAAAGTGTTAGTCAGTGTTTTAAGAGAATTTAGCAACATTTCAAGTAAAAGATTTTAAAAACGTTTAATCATTTTAAAAATTCGAAATTTTCGTCGAAAATCGGCATATTTACCGAGAAATTTGCAATTTTTAATTAAAAAATTTCGAAGGTTTTTGCATTTAGGTATACCAAAAAAACAGCTTGAAAACAATTCTGCCATTTATATTTAAAAAATGGTTACCAAAAATGGTTTTCCTCGTCGCAAAATCCCCCCCGAAAATACATAAGGTCTTTCAAAAAATAAGAAAAAATTCCAAATTGAAAGACAATAGTTATCGCAAGGTTTTAATGGCTAGTTAGGTATTTAAATTCAAATTTATCTGAATTTTTACACCCAAAAACCTACCGGATACGACGTTGGCCGGGCCGGGGGTGGCATGGCTGAGCTTGTGCCCGGTCGATCGTACGTCGTCCGCTTGTTCACATGGCTAAAAAATCGATAAATTAGAGCTCATTAAATAACGATACTCTACCTAAAATATATGACGTTATTTAATAATTCTGGGCCCGACACCGGGGGTCCCGCCACGGCCGCGGTGGAGGGACCCGGCTGGGGGTCAGTCGAGTGCCCGGGCGGTTTGAGCATTTTCGTGGGTTAGGCCATATTTTGGGAAGGTTTTTGGAGTTGTAGTTTGTCGTTGGAATTATCTAATTCAATATTAGATAAATATCTAATTTTTGTGGAGTTATTGATAGGGGTTTTCAGGGTTTTTAGAGAATATTTATAGCTAGGATTTAAAAATTGAATAACAGATTTTACAGCAATTTTATTTTGTAGTTTATAGTATTCAGAAATTTACGAAAATTTAGAAAAATAAGCTCTGAATTAAATAAATCGAGTTTTCTGGGCGTTTCAGAATTTTTTGGAAGATTTTGGAGTTTTTGGAAAAATAGAAAATTTTTCGGTATTCGTAGACACCCAGTTAAATTAAATTAAAATTTTTATTTAAATATAGTTTGTAGTTTGTAGCGGGAAAAATATAGCCAATTTTTTAATAAGAATACCAGCGGGGGAGGAGCCGCTTCGCGACTCTCCCCCGCTGGACCCCGTCTAGGCCCTATGAATCGAGCGCCCTTACACATAAAGCTACCCTGAAGAAAGAAAAACACATCTCCCTAGCAAACCTCTTTGTATTCTCATTCAGCGCAAACTTAAATTGCTAGTGTCGTTATTAGGCCTGCGGCGCAGGTCCTCATCCAGCGGCGCCGGCTCGAGCGGTTTGTCTCGAGATAAAGCCTGTCGCAAGCTTGAGCGGTAACCCCCTTCTTTAGCCTGCGGCGCTAGCTTCAATGGTTGGCTTTATTCGTTAGCCTGCGGCGCTAGCTTGAGCGGCTAGCTTCGTTCCAAAGCCTGCGGCGCTAGCTGGAGCGGCTAGCTTCGTTCTAAAGCCTGCGGCGCTAGCTTGAGCGGCTAGCTTCGTTCTAAAGCCTGCGGCGCTAGCTTGAGCGGCTAGCTTCGTTCTAAAACCTCGCGGCGCTAGCTGGAGCGGCTAGCTTCGTTCTAAAGCCTGCGGCGCTAGCTTGAGCGGCTAGCTTCGTTCTCCAAAGCCTGCGGCGCTAGCTTGAGCGGCTAGTTCGTTCTAAAGCCTGCGGCGCTAGCTTGAGCGGCTAGCTTCGTTCTAAAGCCTGCGGCGCTAGCTGGAGCGGCTAGCTTCGTTCTAAAGCCTGCGGCGCTAGCTGGAGCGGCTAGCTTCGTTCCAAAGCCTGCGGCGCTAGCTGGAGCGGCTAGCTTCGTTCTAAAGCCTGCGGCGCTAGCTTGAGCGGCTAGCTTCGTTCTAAAGCCTGCGGCGCTAGCTTGAGCGGCTAGCTTCGTTCTAAAAGCCTGCGGCGCTAGCAGAGCGGCTAGCTTCGTTCTAAAGCCTGCGGCGCTAGCTTGAGCGGCTAGCTTCGTTCTAAAGCCTGCGGCGCTAGCTTGAGCGGCTAGCTTCGTTCTAAAGCCTGCGGCGCTAGCTTGAGCGGCTAGCTTCGTTCTAAAGCCTGCGGCGTTAGCATGAGCGGCTAGCTTCGTTCTAAAGCCTGCGGCGCTAGCTTGAGCGGCTAGCTTCGTTCTAAAGCCTGCGGCGCTAAGCTTGAGCGGCTAGCTTCGTTCTAAAGCCTGCGGCGCTAGCTTGAGCGGCTAGCTTCGTTCTAAAGCCTGCGGCGCTAGCTTGAGCGGCTAGCTTCGTTCTAAAGCCTGCGGCGCTAGCATGAGCGGCTAGCTTCGTTCTAAAGCCTGCGGCGCTAGCTTGAGCGGCTAGCTTCGTTCTAAAGCCTGCGGGCGCTAGCATGAGCGGCTAGCTTCGTTCTAAAGCCTGCGGCGCTAGCTTGAGCGGCTAGCTTCGTTCTAAAGCCTGCGGCGCTAGCTGGAGCGGCTAGCTTCGTTCCAAAGCCTGCGGCGCTAGCTTGAGCGGCTAGCTTCGTTCTAAAGCTGCGGCGCTAGCTGGAGCGGCTAGCCGTTCTAAAGCCTGCGGCGCTAGCTGGAGCGGCTAGCTTCGTTCTAAGCCTGCGGCGCTAGCTTGAGCGGCTAGCTTCGTTCTAAAGCCTGCGGCGCTAGCTTGAGCGGCTAGCTTCGTTCTAAGCCTGCGGCGCTAGCTTGAGCGGCTAGCTTCGTTCTAAAGCCTGCGGCGCTAGCTTGAGCGGCTAGCTTCGTTCTAAGCCTGCGGCGCTAGCTTGAGCGGCTAGCTTCGTTCTAAAGCCTGCGGCGCTAGCTTGAGCGGCTAGCTTCGTTCTAAAGCCTGCGGCGCTAGCTTGAGCGGCTAGCTTCGTTCCAAAGCCTGCGGCGCTAGCTTGAGCGGCTAGCTTCGTTCTAAAGCCTGCGGCGCTAGCTTGAGCGGCTAGCTTCGTTCTAAAGCCTGCGGCGCTAGCTTGAGCGGCTAGCTTCGTTCCAAAGCCTGCGGCGCTAGCTTGAGCGGCTAGCTTCGTTCTAAAGCCTGCGGCGCTAGCTTGAGCGGCTAGCTTCGTTCTAAAGCCTGCGGCGCTAGCTTGAGCGGCTAGCTTCGTTCTAAAGCCTGCGGCGCTAGCTTGAGCGGCTAGCTTCGTTCTAAAGCCTGCGGCGCTAGCTTGAGCGGCTAGCTTCGTTCTGAAGCCTGCGGCGCTAGCTTGTGCGGCTAGCTTCGTTCTAAAGCCTGCCGCGCTAGTTTGTGCGGCTAGCTTCGTTCTAAAGCCTGCGGCGCTAGCTTGAAGGATTAGCTGAATCTTTAGCCTGCGGCGCTAGTTTCAGTGCCTAGCTGGATCCGTTAGTCTTTGACGCAGTTTAGAGCAACTGGCTTCAGAATAGCACCTCCCTACAGGAAAATACACTTCGAAACATGCATTCCGAGCATAAAGCAAAAAAAATACGATAGCCGGGGATCGAACCCCCGATAGCAAGATTGGCAGGCTGACGCTCTAACCGCTACACCATGAAACGCTTGGGAGCGCGCGCGCAACAGCCCTTGTATGCCCCGAGGTGACTGCCGGGAAAGGGGAGCCAAGGCAATCGGAGGCAGCTCCAATGAGGCAGCCAAACGCGCGAGTGCAACTGGCAAGAATGAGGAAATTTGTATTTTCTCGCATTATGCAAATTAGCCCTCCGGGACCCCCAAAAATTAATAAAACCGGCCTTAACTTTGTAAACTTGTATTCTATCGAAATTCTGAGAACGCTATCGGAAACAGAAGGGTCGATTCCCCCGGGTGACGGAGAATTAGGGCATTTTATGCACGGGAAGGCCCTCAAATCGGGCCTTGAAAGTGACATCCACACACACACACACACACACACACACACACACACACACACACACACACACACACACACACACACACACACACACACACACACACACATACGCGACCAAATTATATAAGGCGGGATATCCCTACGACTCCACCTTCCAAAATTTTTTTACGCAACCTCCAATTCGGTTTATTTCGGGTTTTGATGAATTTTCCTGGCGCCAACGGCTGGTTAAAAAAAATTTATGAATGCGGGTTTAGGATGCGCTATTCAACTGGTATCCGATGAAAATTAAACGGTAATTTTCACAGCGCGACTAAATTTTATAAAATGGTGGCAAGATTCGGAAAAAAGCACGAACCAACCGTTTTGGAAGCCCTAAAAGACGCCCTTCCAAAGGGGTACGGTAGCTCGAAATTTTGTAGATGATAGATAAACCCCAGTACTACATAGTTAAGCAAAGAAAATTGCTGAGTCCCCTTTGGCAATTTAAAACTATTTTTCTAAAGTTCGGTTTCGTGACCTCGAAAATATCCATGACCAGGGGGTCGTTGAAAAAACTCAAAAATTCATCGATCTCAAAAAATTCTTTAATATGTTCATGCGATTGTGTCAAGCCCGTAGGTATTCCACAACAACTGATTTTGAGGTTTTCGCCATAGGTTTTTCCAATATTAAAAATTTACGAAATTTCTCCATACAAAATTTCATTCCTCTCTAACTTTTCAACCAGACCCTCAAAAATTCTTAAATTTCGTAGTTACATATCTGCTGCCTATATTAACTTACTTAATAAAAATCAGATGCCAGCCATCACAGGAAACTGAGAAAAATACAAATGAATTTTCCCCGAACGCACAGTTTTCGGGTGTCATTTGTATTGATACGTCGCCAAAAATCGAAAAAATCAAGTTGTGTTAAATCTTCATACCCAGCATATTTAAGCATTCTGGCATGGTAACGTACCTTCGATTCTCTATCGTTCGCGAGTTATTTCGACCCAAACTGTGGGCTTGTTTTTGCCCACCCTGTCACTTCAGCCTTTTGAGATTCCTGAAACTTCGGCTTTAGACTATAGCACTTTAGGCCTTCGGTTCTTTAGGATTCGCGGGGGGCGGGGGGAAACCAATTTTTTTCCTGGCGGTCCCGGTTGACCTACTAACCAAATATAAAGTGTTTTCACATGGTTTTTAGTAAGTTTTAGCTATATTTAACGTAGAAAATTTTTCAAACAAAAGTTTGAAAAAGTCGGAAATTTTGTAATTTTGGGCCTTTCCCCCGCCCCGCGAATCCTGAAGGTTCTTTAGCATTTTTCTACCTAAAATTAAACTTTTTAATTAAAATGTGTGTAGTTTTTATGCTTACGAATGGTTAAAAACCAGTCAGAAACGCATCCCACAGCGTTCAGAGCCCTAAGAAAAAGGTTCGTCGAGCGGGGACAGGATGGAGAGGGGCTCTCTGCACTCTCGCCCACAGCCCATACAGCCTTACTTAAACCTGCAACGAAGTCCAAGTACACTCATTACGGCATTCGTAAACGGATTGTGTCGTATTATCGCTGGGTGGATTTTTTGGTGCGATTACGTGGGGCAAAAGGGGGCTGGGCTACGGTCATTGGGTCACGGCATTAGGGTAAAAGGGTTTGGTCGGGTCTGGGGGCGCCGAGAAGAGGCGAAAAATGCTAGTAAAAGTTAGAAACAATTCAAAATATCTTTAAAGCGCGTTTTTCAGCAACCGTCAACTTTAGGAATCGAGAGAACAAATAATCGCGGATTTTTTGAGCATATAAACTGCCAAATCGGTAAAGTCACGCTTCCGTTATAGAATAGGTCCGATTTTCGCACATCAACCTTGGGGATTTAAGCGATGTTTTGCCACATCCGGGGCTGCCAGGGTACCCAAAATAGACTATTTTTTTTTGTGCTGATTCTGAAAATGAGCTAGTTTATTACCCATGACGTCAGATTCTCGAGATAAAAGCAAATTTTGGTGGAATTCATCCAGGAAACACCAAAGTTTCGGGACCTGGGTAAAAAAGTACGCTGAAAACGATAAAATACAAATTAAACGTTAAAACTTTTATTTTGCTGAGAATTTATTATATGCTAAACTTTTGGCAAACGAGGCGGTACGTTATGATACTTGTTACGAAGCTACGTCATTTGAATTATGCCGTAGCCGGCCTTCGCCCTGGACCTTCGTTGTTTAGCTGTATTGGGTGTGCGCCCTTCCTCTCGCTGTCTGCCCCCAATGAATCATAAATGATGTGTACGAAAGATTAGCCCGGCTGTCTGCTATCGCGCGCCCCACCCCTCCACTGCCTGTCTGCCCCGTGTCTGCGCTCTGCATGATCTCTGCATCCTGTACCCAAGGGGCCCCCTTTTCTGAACGATGTGATCCGCTATCTATAAAAAAGTAGGCTTCGGCCGAAAAAAATTCGGCTTCCCCCGCAAATCCTAGGGGCAGCAAAAAACTGTATCTACCGCCGCAGGCCCTAATTAAGGAAAAATAGAGCCGTAACTAGCGCCGCAGACCCAACAGGAATAGTCCCACGGACGCACAGGCTCAAGCTGAAGGTCCTTTGATAGGCTTCTTGTGGCCTAGAGCAATTCAGTGGAAAATGGTCGCGAAGTGGCCTTTGTCCACTAGTGTAAAAGATAAGGAATATTTAGGATGTGTATAAATGTGATATTTATGGATCTGGATGGGTTGTATTGGATATGGTGAATAGAAGGTATGGATGGAGAGCAAAGGGGTTTCCTCAAATCATTTTCAGACCCGGGAGTCATGACATTGAAGAAACATTAGACGATAGCCGACATTTAGAGACGCTGAAAAGACTTGTAATCGGGTAGTTACCAAGTATAGTAGAAATCTTCTTTTTAGATGTACACAGCAGCTGGTTGGGAAGCGACTTTGTGTGGAAGAAGCATTGAAGCTCTGCAAAGCAATGACCATGGTAAAGTAACAAGATCAATAAATAGTCTACAAAATTTCAGCAATTCATGAATGGGCATGGAAAGCCTGATCCAGATCGAAACCCGAACAGGCTAGAGCCGCCAATTGGGTTGAATGGAGGGGGATGGAGGGTTGACAGAGAGATCGAGCTCTCTGGAGTTGATATAAGCTTCAGTTCGTCGTGCAGTCTTGTGCTGGCACCGAAAATGAAACAGACAAAGGTTGACCGACGAGAAAAATTGCTAATGGAATTTAAAGAGAGGTTAAGGACAGCTACTAAATTCGACCGCCTTATAACGTTTTCGGAATTTATCTGCCGAATTGACAAAGGAGGCCCCCCGGGCGATGAATACTACTACAGAAGGGATTTATGTGATATTATTCTGGTGCATTTATCTAACCTCCCGAGTGAGGATGAATTGAAATGTGCTGAGGAGATGGAGATATTCTGGAAGGTCGATGCTACTGAACTCTATGAAATAGATCCTGCGGAACTACGGGTTCGACACAACGAGAGAGAAAGAACTATTCATTCCACCGGTCAATCGAAAGGGTCCATTTTTGAAATCCTGGGCATATTCAGACACCTGATTGAACTGGATGTATGGATTCAGCTACATTCCCATGCGCAACAGCTCGGGGCACTGATTGAAACAGATCTCGGAACTCTTCCATCTTGGGATATCCTACAACAACTCGATGACGCCATTAATATAATTAAAGAATTAGGGCAACTATTTACAGTAAGAGCCATTTATCCAATTGTGACTATTCAAGGATCACGATATTCATGGTACCATTTACACGGGATTGGTTTCTTGCGGAAAGATTGTACCGATACTCGCCCGTACAACATGGAGACAACAGAAATAGCTTATATGGATACTGGAGAAAAAGAGCCATTAAATAATGAGCAGATGAGGAGGGCTTTAATTGAAGCGAGGAATTTGTTTGAAAAGAAGCTTTCGAAGCAGCGTGATGCAAACAAAGAGTTTATGTCGAAAAATAGCTTGCGGACATTAATAAAGGATGCTCGGTGGAGGATGAATAGTGTCTGGTTGTATTGTCAAAAGCCGTTAGAGGAAGTGAAAAGAATCCCTGGTCAGCCATTCGCTGGATATGTCTTTCTCAATGACCAACCTCCATCCCATCAATGTCCTAAAGGACAATGCCAAATTGTTGGTGGATTTCCAAGCTGGGCAGACCCAAAATACCAAATCAACTATCACAAATGTTCGACAAAGGATCAAATAGAGTATATTGAAGTTTATACGTTGATGTTAAGCTCGATTCAATATATCAAACGGCGGACATCAATGTGGATACCGGCTCCCGTGGATTCATTGATTGAATACAAGGGAAGAGGCAGAGACTGGTCAATCCCTTTCGCGTTAGTCGAGCTGAAGGATGGCTCTAATGGGCTACTAGTTCAATATCACCCCTCAGTGGAGCGAGGAACGTTCCTCAACCACAACATGAAACTCGTGTATTCCGCGGATGTGAAGTTTATGCGATTTGTCCTTGTGCGGTTAAGTGATCTGGTTGACATAATTCCTGCTTGGCATGTATCTGAATATTTTATGCCGCCTTGGAATATTGCTAGTGAGTAGCCATCAGCTTTGTCCATCGAATCCCCAGGCCAAAACTTTCGAAATCTCTATCTAGGCGGGCGAGGTACCTAGCCGGCCGAAATTTTGTGTGGTTGTAGAGTAAGGTGGTGAGTGGAACATACTCGCAAAATTCACGCGTCTCCCGTCCCCGCGCGGCTTGCGCCTTCAAATTTTGCGAACAGGCTCCGCTCTCCTTACGCCACAGCTTCACAAATTTTCAGCCCTTTAGGTACCTCGCCCGCCTAAAAAGATGCTTCAAAAGTTTTGGCCTGGCGGTGAACAAGTCTGGTAGCCATATCATTTTCGACATTTTAGCACGGCAAGACAGAATTGACACATTTTGGGAAAACGTAACGTGAGTTGTCAAACCCCTCTAACTAAACTTTATATTAAGCAACCGAAAATTGGACGATGATTTTGACGAAAATATATCGAGTCCGGTTGAAGCAATTATAGATGAAGACGAATCAGGCGAGACCGGTGATCGGACGGACCGTGCCGAGTAGCATAAAAACGAAAAGCCAATAAATTTTGCCTTTATTTAATTGAAGCGAAAAGATGCACAAACGACAGGACAACATCCAAAAATGCATAGATAACAGCATGGAATGTAAAAAAATTACAACGCAACAATTCAACCAAAAACAGTGAAAAGCGTAATCCTAATTCGGTCACTTTTTGTTGATCATATCCATGTAGGCACCAGTCAACAGATCCGCTTCAGCCACCTAACAACACAAAAACTAGCGCGCTGGAATCAAAATTCATACCTCCAATTCCCTCCTCAGATCATCGGCAATCTTTTGGCCATCTTCTAGACTTTGTTCCTCGCGAAGACACACCTAAAATTATCGATACACTACACTTTACGAACTACAACTCATTACCTCCAATTCCATAAAATCCCCTAATCCATCAACTGTATCAATATGTACTCGTGTCTGTCCCACCATAAATAACTGACGAATCTTCTTGACTTCTCCTTTTATTCCCATTGACAGGGAGAGGGTATCCTAAATAGAAATAGTCATCCAAAAGAAGCAAGACCTGTAGATCTTTTAGCAATCCATCTGGGAGTACAGTTTTCTTGAATTCAGATAGTTTCGGGCCGGCCACATCCGGCCGATTGTACCAGATTAGCTCGTTACGGTTCTAAAATAAAGAACTGTAGATAGAGAGAGAGAGAGAGAGAGAGAGAGAGAGAACAGAGATAGACAGAGAGAGAGAGAAGAAAGAGAGAGACAGAGATAGACAGAGAGAGAGAGAAAGAGAGAGAGAGAAAGAAAGAGAGAGATAGAGAGAGAGAGAGAGAGAGAGAGAGACAGAGATAGACAGAGAGAGAGAAGAAAGAGAGAGACAGAGATAGACAGAGAGAGAGAGAGAGAGAGAGAGAGAGAGAGAGAGAGAGAGAGAGAGAGAGAGAAAGAGAGAGAGAGAGAGAGAGAGAGAGAGAGAGAGAGAGAGAGAGAGAGAGAGAGAGAGACAGAGATAGACAGAGAGAGAGAGAAAGAAAGAGAGAGACAGAGATAGACAGAGAGAGAGAGAGAGAAAGAGAGAGAGAGAGAGAGAGAGAGAGAGAGGATAGACAGAGAGAGAGAGAAAGAAAGAGAGAGACAGAGATAGACAGAGAGAGAGAGAGAGAGAGAGAGAGAGAAAGAAAGAGAGAGAGAGAGAGAAAGAGAGAGAGAGAAAGAAAGAGAGAGAGAGAGAGAGAGAGAGAGAGAGAGAGAGAGAGAGAGAGAGAGAAAGAAAGAGAGAGAGAGAGAGAGAGAGAGAGAGAGAGAGAGAGAGAGAGAGAGAGAGAAAGAGAGAGAGAGAAAGAGAGAGAGAGAGAGAGAGAGAGAGAGAGAGAGAGAGAGACAGAGAGAGAGAGAGAAAGAGAGCTGGCTATACCTCTCCTTCCGTAGACAACATTCTCATCTTCAGTCTTCCATTTGGCGCTTCATAAAAGATGTCGTGTTGCTTGATTTCGGTTCCTTTTGACGAGCTGAAAAAATTTAATCAAAATTTATTATGGCAAAACGCTAATAAAATCAATTCAGAGTCAAATACTAGCACTAAATTAAAAACCATCATTATTCTAACCAATTCCCTACCTCAATCTGGCGGCCAATTCGACGATTCTCGCCAGATCCCTAACCACAGCCTTGATCTCCACATTTCGCGGCATTTTTTCGGGCTTAAAAAATACGAAAATTCGGATGTGATTTTCCCACAATTATCCGGTATTTTAACGGCCGTTTTAAAATGCCTGATTCGTGTTTTAACGCGTTAAAAATTAGAAGAAATGTGCATTTATTGTGTGGCATTACAGGGGAAAACAGAAAACAAAGAAACAAACAGAAAACGAAATAAATAACAATTAGGGTGAGAGGGGAGCGGGAATAGAGAAAATGGGCAACAATTAGAAGGGATTAACAACGAAATTTAAAGGGGAGAAATAGAAATAGAAACAGGGATAGAAATAGATAGATACAATCACAGATTGATCAAACCAAATAGCGAAAGAAGGAAAGAAGGGGGAATTATTACAACAAAATGACGGAAGAGATATCGTCATACAAATTAACAAACTTTCCTTTATATAAATAAAGAGATATTATGTAGTGTCTTTTAATAGCTGAATTTTCCTGAGTCTCTCGACGGCCGATGAAATATACGGGAGATCTTTGGGGGAACAACGCAGGATGTCGGCTGCCAGCTTCGCGCGGATGCACAGTTTTCTGAAAAACACGAGTTAAATAATGATTAAAAATTTCCATTAAGTTCAAGCAGTTCAGGAAGGAATTTCTTGGTTATTCTCAGCCAATTTTCGGCAGACATGACTTAATTTGGTGAAAATCGCAGCTTGAAACGTTTTCGAGCAGTTCAAGCTCAATGTTGATTTGGCTACATGATAAAAATGCGCGCTAACGGCAATTTCAAGGAGTTCAAGCGGAAGAAATTCGTTAAATTTGTCTAGTTTTCAGGTGAACTGCTCGAATTTGACGAAAATTGTTGGTTGCCCATCACTTTCAAGCAGTTCAGGCATAACTGAGCTTTTCAAAAGCGTTTTTGCCGCTTTTCAGTTGAACTGCTTGAAGTTGACGGACAACCAGATCGGCCTAAAAGCCTGAAAAAAGCAATAATGTTTACCGAATAATATTGGGAGCAGCGTTCTCGGGGACGAGGGCCCTCCTCAACGCCATCCACACTTCAATATCATGTCTTGCATGCACTTCGATACGAACCGAATCTTCTCCAACAGGGACTACCTGCAAATAGACATCTTATAGGGGGATATTAACAGCCATTATACCTCAATGACCACATGGATAAAATCCCCAAAAAGGGAGCCCATTTGGTATCGTTTGCCGCTCTCATTCCACACCATACAACACACGTTATTGCCTAAAATAGCAAGCCAAAATAAAAATAAAAATGGAAATACCAATGAGCTTCTTCTTATTATTGCATTTGTCGTCATTTTCGAGACGTGGCATTAGGGTGGCGATGAGGAATACCTGAAAAAAAGAGAATTACAGAGAAAATCGGTACTTTTGCATTAACGGTGGGTGGTCGGTTTTTCTAAGCATTTTTAAACTCCTAAACATTGAGAATCCCAACAAATTTTATTTTAAAAATTAAAAATCTGACGTTTTCTAAACAAAATTTTCATTTTTTACACTTTTTAGACAGTTTTTGCACTTGAACTATAGTTCAATTTAGAAAAAAAACTCGGCTAAAACGTGCTAAATCAAAATTGCGGCGTTCCGAGGAAATTCTGGATTTTCAGGAAAAAAATTCGGTTGCCCCCCCCCGCCCCCGATAATGCTAAAGCTCCAGAAAAAAACCGCGATAAAGGCCTTACCATACTGCTAATCTCATCCAAATGTGTGTACGTATAGTCTCCATTCTTCTCGGCAATCAGCCCTCCTCCCAAATCATGAGCCGTCGATTGAGGGGTGCCCAAGGATCTGAAAATAGCGTTCAATCTTTTAACCAAAAAACGAAAGTTAAAGGGCTGCGGACGGCATGTGTCGATCCCCCCTCATCAACAAATTGGCAAGTAGCCAACAGGGGAGGGAGCGCGCCCAGGGGAGAGGCGCAGAGACATTTTCTTTCCAGCGCGTAACCGATTGACTATGCCGTCGGCATCCCTTTAAATAAAAAATCAACTAACTAAAAACTTATTAAAAATTCAAATAATTTAAATTATTAACAAAAAAAAATTGAAATAATTTGAACGTACTTGATGAAATGTTCATATCTCTTGGTGCCATATGGATTAGAGAGAACATCAGTCTCTGTCGATTGCCCACTTCCCATAAATATCACTCCAACTGGATGAAGCTCTATTCCAGAGATACGGTCCAGATTACGGATACGCGTCGACACAAGGTCATTCGTCTAAAAATAGCGATTTTAGCGTACTGTAGCTATTTTTGTACCTTTTTCGGGCCGATCCTCTTGGAGCCGGACAATCCGGAGAGGTGGAGGGAAAGAGACCCGTATTCATCCATTCCATCCACATCTACAAAAAACACATCTTATTTTCTTTGCTTAAAAATTAAATTTCTAAACCTAATAAATTTAGCTTTCGTAATTTCTCATTAAAAATGATTGAAATAATTTTTACTAATTTTAAAACTTTAAATTTAGTTTTAAAAGCTAAAAATTGTCTTTACCAAAATACTTCAATTTGCAAACAAAACTGTCAAACTGACTGGGCCCAAATCCAGCCTGATCAATCCTCCTCATAATCCACGAATCCCTTCCGTACATATGACGCACAATCATCTGCGTCACGCTGATCTTTCCTTCTAAAATTCCACAACAATTTACATAAAACGTTAAAGTTACCGTGTACTTTCGGGATCGGAGTGAATTTGTGTGCAGCTTCCAGGGCCGTTTGATACGTCTCCAAGGTACGGGGGTTTTGAGCCGCTGCAGCACGCAGGTCACGCAGGATCTACAAAATAGATTCGCGCGTTATGTCATAAATATTCTAAAAAATACCCTATCCTGTTCGTCCCTCTTCTCGGCGATTGATGCCCTGGATGAAGAAGCGGAAGTGGAGGGCTGAATGGCAGAAGCATGCCTATAACAATAAAGTTGAAATTATCAAAATCGAAAACCTTCTCCTGGCATCAGGATCGACATGAGGGGATGACCACGAGGTAATATTCTCTGAGAAACGGTCTTCTAAATATGGAAAATGGTAGAAAAATACGAATACGGTACCCTGATCTTGTTGTTCGATGGCTCTGCTGCCCTTTTTGACCATATTTCTCAGCGTGACAATACTATCACCCGTTGAATATGTTGTCGATTCTACTTCTTCCTGAAAAAATATACTAAAATATTTATAAATTAGCAAAAATTAAATTAAAAACTCAATATTAATAAAATTCAAAATTAAAGAACAATAAAATATATAGAACTAATAAAATTAAACTTTACAAAATCTTACATATCCATCAACTTCTGGCATTCCACCAAAAACATGAGCAGATATTCGGCCGAGGCGGAAGAATTGAAGGAGCGCCGTTTGTATCTCTTTCATAAACTAAAAATAAATAATAAAAAATTAAACGTAGAATTTGTACCTTTTTCTGTAGTTTGTGACTGAGTCGTCCCTTTGATCCGCGTTGAAAATATTCGGAGGGTGGGGTGTTGCCTTGGAGGGAATTGCTTGGCGAATCCTGCAAAAAATAGCGATAAATCGACAATAAAAATTGGAAAAACCCTAATATGCATAAAGCCCACAATAACCGCTAAAAATTCTATTTTTACAATTAAAAATTGAAGTTGAAATTTTCCAAAACTAAAAAAATAAATTCCTCAAAAAATTCCAAAAATAATTTTTAAATTGACGATTAAAAAAATCTATGTTTTAAAAACCGACCTCATCAACCTCGTCCTCCATTCCATTGGCATTCGGCTTCTGACTATCACTGGCATGTCTTTGCAGCGCTTCCTCTACCTTCTCCTCGTAATATCTACAAATATCGATCGAGAATTCGATATTTTGTCAAACCTCGAAATATCAGCCCTATAAATGCGTGGTACTTTTGAGAACCATCTCATGAGAATACGATGTGCACATACAACAACATAGATCGAATGCACTTTGATGTTTAGATACGGCACCAGGATATCCACCACCATCTCGAAGTTTTCTTCCTGAAAATCGCGATAAAAAATATATCCCCAATTTCCTCTGCTAGTGTTTTGGCATCTAAAGCTGTAAATTTAGCCAAATTTAAGATTTATCGATACGGCTAAAAATGGAAACATCGCAAAAACAGCTCAAAAAATTTCCTAAATGATCTCTGCTAGCTCGTCAGCTTGAAAAGTAGCAAATTTAATGTAAAATCAATACAATTAAAAACGCCAAAAATCGGCAAATAGCTCAATACAAATTTGCCACAAATTTTCTCTGCTAGTTTGCCCCTATAAAAATCCTCATAAATACCTGAAAGATGGTGTGCAACATCTCAATGCCACTCGTATCACTCATCAGTTCCAGCACAGGGATTGCCCTTCGGGGGGATGGATCGAGAGAACGGATTGTCAGCAGAATCTGATGGGCATACAGGGCCATTTGTTCCGGCAACATCTAAATAAAGTCAATTGAATTTTTTAAAATCATGAAATCGATTTAAAAATTGAATTTATAAATATTTAATGTAATAAAAATAATTAAAGGACATTAAAATGAACGAAACACACCTGTACAGCCAATCCACAAGATTGTATCGCTTCGGAGTGATGTCCAACTTTTATCTTGAGACATTCCACCAGAATCCGGCATACTTCTCGTTGACGTTTCTCTTCTAGTGGGTAGTTGAGGATTGCGATGAGGAGTTGTGGAAGGTAGATCACGATCTCAGAATCGGCTACCTTATCAGAAAATCGTCATTAACAAGCGAATCGATACCTTTAACGTCTTCAGCCTCTCAAACATATCAATACATCCATCCAAAAGAGCGTCCAAATTCTGTTGACCACAACTCATGATGAAATCGATCGACTAAAAAACAGAACTATAATTTTTTAAATGAAGTTTGTAAAATTAACGTATATTAAGGGATAACTGATACCTCTAGCGTCCGATTGAGACTTTTGAGAATAGAACGAAGCGCCTTCCAATGCGTCTCCTTCCGCAGTGCTTCCACAATAATTGGGGCCACCAGATCGAACGACAGCTCCTTGCTTTCCGCCAGCTTTTTCTGAACAAATAAATTAGCTAATTTCATCGCGTAATCAACTACCGTAGATCCCTTCAGAAACGTGAACGAATTGATGGTGGGGGCATAGTCGTACAGCTCATAGCGTTCTGCAAAAATTGCAGTAAAAATCCAAAAAAGTAAACTGAAAATCAAAAAACGAATGTAAAAATTACACAATACTGTAGAAAATTCCTAAAAAATCTAATTAAAAAACTTACGAATGCGGTGTGAAATTGGGCATGCTTGAACGGACAAAATAGCCGAGAAAATCCGCACTCGAACAGAGCCACCGAGTTCGTGGAATTTTCCTTGCTAAACGAAAATAAATAAGCGCTTTCAAGCAGTCTAACTCGCAAAAAATTCTTGATACCGTACTTGATATTGTGTGGAAATATGGGCGACGAAAAGCTCCAAAATTTCCCTCAGAATATTGCCGGGGAATTCGGGGAATCGGGCAGCTGTGATGGCACATAATTGCTGGGCTGTTACCTCGAGATTTTCGAGTATTAGCCGGGCAGTGGAAGGGCCTAAATTGTCAAAAAAAAATAGGTTTCCACGCTTTAAAATGACCGCTATTAAAGCTGCTGCCCGAATTCTGGCGTTGTTTGAGGTGGTTGGCGATTTGGCGTTGATCAAGGTTCGTTTGGAATGAGCGGATGGAAGAATGGGATAGGCGGCGATCACGACGCTAAAAGGGGAAAAGCTAGGAGAAGCCGATAAAAGCCTACATCTTCAACGCCAAGCAATCCTTCATTGAACAGCTTCCGCGCGATGATAATGGCGTCATGAAAGCATTGTTCATCTACCGGGATCACTTTCAGGATTTCGAAGAGAAGGCTGATCATTAGCGCCTGAAAACGGGTCGTTTTATAGCCCTGAACATTCAGTTGTACCTGTATCTTGGGATGTGGTTCTCTGGGGGCAAATCCAAGCATCGGCAGCACGACCCTTTCCACCAGTTCCACCTCACACATCAGCTTGTTCTGCTTCAGATATTCCTTGATCGCTTGCAACGACTAAAAAGCAATTTTAATAAAATTATTGACCAATTTGAAATTACCTTTTCCCTTCTCATGTAATTCTGACGGGCTGGGAGGCCTTTTTGGGCTAGAAAATAGGGCCATAGGGCTTCTCGTAGTTCTTCAACCCAGCGTGGAGAGTAGATATCAACCATCTAAAAAAAGATTAAAAATCGGTTTAAATTAACTTAAAACTAAGATTAAATAAAAATACAATTTATTTTTCAAAAGTATGAAAATATTTTTTATATAAAATTACCGAAATTCGGTCCTGAATCAATCGATGGACGGCTGAGGGCTCCTTCAAATCCCCATAAACCTCGACAATATCGTAAACATAATTGCGGCACCAATGGACGAGACCACTAAAAATAGGGGGTAACTAGCAGAGATCTTTGCGGAACATACTCCATTTCCTCGAGCGAATGGACCAATCGATAAATGACCGGACGACACATCTCTTCATATGCTCTGTCCTTTTTGCATAATTTGTCGGCGGATTCGAGGACGTGGATCGTGTGTCGCCAATTCTCATCTGCGAATCCGCGGCCATAGCGGAGGAGCAGGGCTCGCAGGCTCTAAAAGTAATTTAAAACCTTTAAACTATTCAAAAAATGTAAAATGCTTGAAATTAATTTAAATGTATTTAAAAAAGCTATTTAGAACTTTCTAAAACAACTTAAAAATACTCAAATCAATTTAAAATGTCTAAAAATACTTATAAGTACTAAAACTATCTAAAATCATCTAAAAAAATTTAAAGAGCATTTTACAAGCATTCAAAACCTATGTAAATTATTAAAAGCAATTTTAAAAATGTTGAAAACTTTTTAAAAGCACTAAAAAACCGTTTAAAAGTAGTTAAAGGACAATTGAAGGCTCAGAAAAATTAGCTTACCTCGATGACCTCCTTGCAAACATGCGGATCTGCCCTCATGGCCATTCGAAGGGATGATAGATAATATGTAGGGCTGCCCGGTTCCATCGTCTAAACGTATCGATTTCTTAAACATCGGTTAAAATCCTTTACCTCGACTCCCCATCCAGATTTTGCGAGCCAAAAGACACCCCCTCGAATGACTTGCACAAATTCTTGATGGCTATAGGAGAATCTGTCGGAATGGTGGCCAAAACGAGGGGCAGATTGAAGCAGTTCTTGGATGAGACCGCTAAAAATACAAATTTTAATCTATAAAAATTCTTTACCGTGCCGTACAGCTAAATTGACTTCGCATTAATGCCTGGGCCACTGTCCACCCGTCATTCCGAAGGCTGTCGGCTAGCTAAAAAATCAAAGTAATTTTTTTATGCTTTTAAAAACCTACCTTTCCTTTGTCTTCTATCGCCAAAACAAAACAAATGCCGAGGACCACCTTGTGAAAGCTGTCGCCCGGAATTCCACTAAAAAAAGCTATAAATTACGTTTAGAAATTCTGTACTTTTTCTTGGCTACAATTCGTATAATTTCCAGACATCGCAGACTCAGTGCATCTCTCGTATTCATCGCTCGAACCGTGCAAATGTGCAGCATCTCTCGCAGCACGTCTTCTGACCTAAAAATTTGCCTTTTTTGCTGTCCATTTTTACTTACACAAAAGCCAGATTCTCCGTAACCATATTGATGGTCATTTTGAAGACATCCACGGCGAGAATTGGGTCACTTCCATCGATATATGCCTTTAGCCATTGAAGCACGTGGTGGTCCATTACCTAAAACGCTTAAAAATAGACAAAAATCATATAAATCGTACTTTTTCGAGCCCTTCAATGAATATGCCTTGTTTTGTCAGCGCCATCAACCATTCTAGACTTCGCGCATCCAGTTCAGAGGTCCGGATTTTCTAAAAAAAATGTATAAAAATCGTCTAAAAACCCACATCAAAGAATTGCCCTCTCAAAACAATGCCAATACTGTCGAATTGGGTCTGGGTGATGGAGATATAGGCCCTGGAATTGGTTTTATCTCGAAATTTCAACTGATTTCTACCTAATAACAAAATCCCTGCAATCCGGTTCGGTGACCAAATCGATCGATTGATGCACGATTCCCTCGATTGAAGAGACTTGCAGCGTTTTTGAGATCATTAGCTGAAAAAAAACGACTTAAAAACGTAAAAAAGGTATAGCTATACCTCCTGTAATCTTCTCAACACTCGAATCCTGTCTCTTTTCGAATTCTTCTTCTCTAGGGCATCCCACACGAATTGCGCAATCGAGCCATTGTCTGTTATCTAAAAAACCGGGATTTTTTTCATTTTTAGAGTTTCTAACCAGCGGTTCATCCCTGGCCGGCTCGCCGTCTTTTCGGAAGATTCTGCTGAAGAAGCTGCGACCTAAAAAATGTGGAAAATCCTCGAAAAATCAGAAAAATTTACCCCCAGATTTAGGACTTCCATCATTACTCGAGGCGGCGGGTTTCGGGATTTTTACGCCCTTGTTAGAGCCCGTACTGCTCGCGCGGGAAGAGGCTCGAGGCTAAAAAACAGTAATAAAAAATTAAACAATCTAAAAATATACCGGTGATGCAGAATTGCCGGGTAGAGAGTCGGCGCCTGCAAAATATGTTTTTAAAAGCCTCAAAAAACGTGCCAGAATAGTTATTATTCGAAGATCTTCTCGCGCCGGCCACAATCGCCCCATCTTCATCCAACATCAAATTGTCGACATTATTCAGAAGAGCCTCGGTTCGTGGGGATGAGCTGAATGGCTCATCTTCGCCAGACATTTCTCATTACCCTGCAAAAAAGGAAGTTTATAAAACGAATCCTCGAAAATCCCGAAAATACATAGAAAGAATATGAAAGCCAGTTCTTAAAAATATATAGCACATGTTCTAAAAAGCGGTAATAATCACAGAATATTTCTAAAAAGTCTCCGAAAGCCCGAAAAGTGATGATCACAACGAAATATGGATAGAATTCCCCGAGATATTAGTGCAAAAGGAAAAGGAAAACCCGATTTGAAAGGAAAAAAAGGAGAAAACAGCAATGCAATGCCTAGAATTTCATTTCATAAAAAAGAAATAGAGATTTACAACTCCTTTTTCTTGTTTTGATTGTTGGAATGCTGCTTCTTGCTGTCCCACGCGTCGATGAACAACCCAATAAAGACGATAGCCGTGGCAATTATCTGGCGTGTCGATAGTGGATGGGCGAATAGAACGACAGAGATGATGATGGTGAACAGCTTGCGGGTTGTCGTCAAGATCGAGCAGGTCAGTGGCGAGAATTCCTCGACAGTCTTGAAGATGAAATACTGCCCTCCACAGCTCGATCCACAAATGATGGCCATCTCGAGGAGGACTTCGGGGTATCGCCTGGCAAACGAGATGAAGCTGAACAGCTCGCCGGTGGCCAATATCGTGATGGCGAGGAATAGAGAGGAGAAGATGTTCATGTAGAACATCATTGAGAGGGCTGTTCGCTGGTAGTGCTTCTTGATATGATCCTGGATTGCTGTTGTTGTGCCATCGAGAGTGAGAGAAGTTAGCTAAAAAGGAGGAATTCATCAAAAACTATAAATCCTTACCAGTAAAATTTCGCCAATCCCGATTCCTCCCTCAGTTTCGCTCGTTTTCTTGTCTTTATACATAAACATTGCCACTCCAATGACGATCATCACCACTATTAGGTATTTCTTCAGAGCGTATCGCTTTCCCGTCAACAGAACGCCGCATAGAAGCACCGGAATTGGCTTGCACGACTTGGCGAGCACCTAAAAATACTTTTAAGCGCTAAAATCTAAACTACCTGGGTAGGATACGGCAAATACAAAAGCGCCTGATTACTAGCCACCATGGCAGCCAGATAACAGAATGCACATAGAGCATATATCCGCCCGGGGACCGTGTCTTTCGTCTGTTTCGGCAGCAGAATGAAGGCAAAAGCTGCACTGGAGAGGCAGACGAAGAATAGCAGCGTTTGGATGTAGATGAACGATTCGTGGGCGGCGCCGAATTTCCCCTGGACAAGGCGTTCTTGATAGATTCCGAAGGAGAAATAGCAGAGCAGGATGCCGGCAGCACAGATGAACACGTGCAGGCATTCTTCGAGGTATGTACGCTTGGCTTCCGGCTTCGGCTTCACCGCCATGTTTTACAGCCTAAAACATAATGCAACAGATTCTCCCTATTTCTAATCTTATTTTCTGTTTTTCAAAATAATTCTAGCATTTTTTAGCTTTTTCATGCTGTTAAATCCCTTGTGCTATAAAATTCAACTTTGTTCCGGGTATAAAATTTTATCAACTACAAAATCTACAAAATGTGTCGAATGAAAATGGTTATCACAACTAGATGGAGGGGACACAGGGATTGAGAGAGAGGGACATAGATACCAGACACATAATGGGGGGATTTAGAAACAAAAAACACGGCAACAAGTTCACAAAGTGTAAAACTTAGATCTTGGATGGAGGGGAGGGGGATGGTAGTCATTGTTCCGGGGCGGCCAGCGCGATCACTCCACAAGCGGCACGAGCGCCGGCGTTCCCGGTCTTCAAGCTCTCTTCCTTCTTCTCGCCTTCGCCCTTGCCTGGAAAGAAGAAATCAGTTAAAAAATAAATTTACAGCTACATTCAGCGCTAAAAATCGATTTTCAGAGCGAAAAAGCGGCAGAAATGCCCGAAAACGCGCTAAAAATCCATTGTCAATAATTTCAAGAAATTAGCATTCAGGCTTTCAGTAAAGACAACGCTGAAAATCGATTTTCAGCGCGAAAAATTTGCCTGAACGGCTCGAAAACTCGCTAGAAACCGACCAAGATCATCGGTGCCGGCGTGGACGACGAGCGAGCGGCCAACGACAGTGTTCTCGCCATGGATCTGAACTAAACGTTTCAAAAAATCCAAAAAACGCTTATACCTTGATGAGAGAGTCCTTGATCTCGAACTTGGCGACTCCATTCGAGTCGGCCTCAACGTTGCCCAGATCGCCGACGTGACGGTTTTCGTCCTAGAAAAAAATACTACGAAAAATCCGTAAAAATTTTACATTGGGGCCTCCGTGGGTCTTGTTGAAAGGGTTGAAATGGGGTCCAGCGGAGATGCATCCATTTGTGGAGTCGCCATACTGATGCACGTGGAAGCCGTGTTTGCCGGGGGTCAGTCCACGAATCTCGCCCTTGATTACCGTCGGGTCGCTTTCCTTATCCTAAAAAAGAAAAGATAATCATAAATTCTCTATAATGTTTATACCTGTCTAAGATAGACGGTTCCCTCAACACCAGCATCTCCACGTAGAACGGCCACAGCTCGGTTGCTCATTGTTTGCTTGGCTTCCGGCTGAAAAAAAGGAAATTAAACCAAGTAAGAGCTAGGAATTGTTAGCGAAAACACAAAATTAAACAAGGAAGAAATTAGGAACCTTGAAAAAGCTTCTGATATTTTGGCTGATGGCGTAGACGAACATCACTAGCTTGAGAATCTGAAGGAAACAAGATGAAATAAGGCCTGAAACTGAAAAATGAATCAAAAGATAGGAAAATTGGAAAGTGGAGAGGGTTGTTGACGGGATAAATATTGTGAGGGGAGCGTCAGGGGAATGGGGGAACGATACAGAGAGGAGATAGAGAGCGAGGAAAGAGGAGAGGGCAGAGAATGGGCCATTTACTGGGGATGGAGGAGAGATAAGGGGCAAACTACGGCCAATCCCCACCACACATTCTCATCGCTCACTACAATAACAACAAATTGGAGGAGTAGCACAATAAAAAGATAGAGTATGTCAATAGAGTAGAGGGAAGAGCAAAGATCTAGTCAGAAAGGCCGAAAACGGAGAAATAGCTATGGAAGAAGTAAGGTAAAGTGGAAGAAATTGAGGTTCGACTAGAGAGAAGCCCCTGGAAGATTCATCGCGTTGCCAAGGCGATATCAGAAACCGCAAAAAAAAGAACATGGCCTAGGCCAGAGAAAATTGGCGGAAAACGAGGTTATAAAATAAAAGAAGCCCAACCGCGATTTGGTAACATAAAAATCAATATATCAAAGTTTTAAAGTGTTCAAAAGCAATTTTGTGCAACTTTTTTTTCGAAAAGTTTTAGAAAGCAAAAAAATTCAAAAGTAAAAAACCACGAGTCAGAAAATTTGCCGTCCTAATCGAATATCTCGTGCGCTACGGTACTAAAGGTGTTCAATAGACCAAAGACTCCCGTTTCGCGGAAAAAAATTGCATTTTTTGCGCGCTTTTTTGCTTTTTAATAATTTGAAAACCAATTTAATTTGATGTTTTGCAGGTATTCGCCGATGCTGACAAAAGCATTCAACTGCCCGAAATGCGAGAGACCGTTCGCTTCCGTCGGACAGCGACCCTTCTACTCCATCCACAAAAAGGAGGTCTACTGCCGTGAATGTGCGCCGAACCCGAAGAATGTACGACAACGAGGGATGATGGAATTCTTGAGCCAGCGGGCATTCAAGTGTACTTCTCAAGGATACGAATATACGCTCCCGATCGCGGATCCTGTCTGCGTCGGTTGCAATGGAAACATCAAAGTGATCGGAGGAGCTCGGGCAATACCCACTCATTGCGGCCACTATCTTTGCCAAGGATGTGTCGAGCGACGCAAGAATGGAATCGTCTTCTCGTGCAAAAGATGCAACACCTCAGCCGCCAAATCTGCCGATTACCCCGAGAACCGCGCCCTGATCAAGTTTTACGAGGAGATCAGGGGACATTCCGAGAAAATCGAACTCGAACAAGGGCCACGAGAGGACACACTACAACCCGCTTCCTCCACGCCGACCGTCGCCCACGACACGAAAAAATTAACGGAAATGCTGAAGCGGTCCGAACAGGAAAACAAAATGCTGAATGATGAAGTTGCGCATCTTCAGTTGGTCATCGCAAAGAAGGAGGAAAATCAGAGAAGCGGAGGCGGATTCCACTGCACGGAATGTGACATCAAACGACCGGTGGAACGGCTGTATATCTGCGAAGATTGCGATCGGATAATCTGTGGAGATTGCAACTTTGATTCGCATCAAATCCATTCTGTTTCGCGAATTCTTGGGACAGCATTGGATCAATTGAGAGAGAAATATGATGCGAGATATACAGAGACAATCGAAGGAATTGCCATCAATCTGGAATCACTTCAAAAGAATGTGAATGAGGCTGTTAGGAGGGTATTGATTGCTGGAAAGGAACGTCTTTCTCTAATCAATCAATCTTCGAAATATGAACATGCTGAGAAGATTGTCAACAATGTCGAGACAACAACTGAACTACTAGAGAAACATTGCCATGAATACTTTCCGGCTGCCCGCAAATTGGCCACACGATTGGAGGAGCTCGAGCTGCAATTGAAAGGAGAACAAATATGAAGATATAGACTTTACGGAATCATGCTATTATTGTTTTATTTTGTTACTTTGATTGCTGGATAAAATTGTTTGATCTTATCTACTTGTTTTTCGGTTTTGAAGTCAGGTTCATTGCCTACAGAATTCTTGCGAGGAGTTGAAGTTGAAGTTAATTATCCGATCGCAATCTACCATTTCTTGTTTTGCTTGCTTTATATTCGAAAAACAAAAAAAAGCTAGCCTAAAATGCCAAAAAAATCGACAACCTACCCAATACCTGGATTCATCTTCATTTTTCAGGAGTTCAACGATGCTCACCAAGGCGTTCAACTGCCCGAATTGCCAGAAGCCATTCGATTGCATTGAAGGAGGGCCATGGGCACCGTTCTTCTCGCCTCCTGACAAAGCCGTGCTCTGCCACACATGCCGGCCACGTCTCATGCTCTCGCTACAACGCGGATTGATTGATTTCCTCAATCAACAAGCCTTCACAAAAGTGGATGACGGATATGAATATACTCTACCGATCAACGAGCCAATCTGTTTTGGATGTGAGAAGACGATCAAGATCTTTGAAGGCGAGGGCGCTTACTTCACCAGATGCCGCCACTACATTTGCAGGAATTGTTCTCGAAAGCGAAACAATGGTATCGGCTGCCACTGCAGAAAGTGTAACATCATCGATCAATATTCGGGGTATGCTAGCTTCGACAGCGTATTGACGGCTTTCTCGAAGGAGACGAGGATTGTCCAAATCAAAGAGATGGATCTAAAAGAATTGAGGGACCAACTAAATGCTCGAGAGACGGCGCTCGAGTTTTTTCAAGCGAAAAGCGAGCGACTCGAGACGATTTTAGCCAAAAAGGAGCAAGAAAACTGTGCTGGAGCTCGGTTCAATTGCTCGGATTGTGGCAGTGAACAGCCCGTGGAAATTCTCTTCAAATGCGAGGACTGTAAAACGACAAACTGCGGCGCCTGCTCGTTCATTTCTCATCGCGATCATTGGGTGGAAAAGCTGCTTGGAATAGAGCTTGATCAACTAGCGAAGAAAAACGATCAAAAGTACACGGAAACTGTTGAAGGGCTTCAAGGAAATCTGAAATACGTGCAGAATAATGTGAACGAAGCGGTGGAGAAGGTGTTGATTGCGGGAAAGGATCGATTGGCAAAGATCAAGGAATGCGAGAAATACGCCGAAGCTGAGGATATTGTTGCAAAAATCGACAAAGCGGCGGATGATTTCGAGAAGCATTGTGAAGTGTACATTCCTGTTGCCCGTCAATTGGCTACTCGATTGGAGGAATTGGGAGAAGAATTGATGAAAGATACTAATAATAATACTACTGTGCAATAATTTGTTTTTATCCTGTGATTAATTGTTCGGGATTTATATTGATGAATAAAAGTGGTGAAATTAATTATAATTATGAATTTTGACTTTGTGAAAAGGTTGATTGTCAGCCACGAAATATTTGCAAAAATTAGAGTGGAGGAGGAACATGGGACTGGACTATTAGCAGGGGGGGGGGGGGGGCTTTGCGCAGGGAAACCAAATTTTTGTCTCTCTGCCTATACTTACCTATTGATAATATAAAATCAAATTTTATAATAATATAATGTAATTTATGGACATTTTGGCCAAAAAGTCAACATTTAAAGTTTTGACCTGCTTTGTATGTCTAAAAACAGTTCAAAATGATATAAAAATTGTCTATATTTCGTGTAGTTCTTTACTTGGAAAAATTTGGTTTCCCCACCGCTAAAAATCCCCGACCCCCGCTAACAGTCCAGTACCAGGGAAAAAGTGAAACGGTAAAAAGACGAAAAATTGGCGTAGAAGTGTTGAATTATCAGATGCAACTCATGCTCCATTTTCAGGTGCTCAACGATGCTGACCCAAGTCTTCAACTGCTACACGTGCCAGACGCCATTCGATTGCAAAGAGGGATATCCGAGAGTGCCCGTCTTCTCCCACTATCATCGATCCATCTGTTGCCGTACCTGTGTCCCAGATGTGCCTCGACTTCAACGAGGTCTCATGCAATTCCTCGATCAGTCAGCATTCCACCGGACACCTCAAGGATACGAATATACCCTCCCTATCGTCGATCCAATCTGTTTTGGATGTGCGGGGACAATAAGCCTTGTCAATGGATCGAAAGCCTTCCCCACCAATTGTGGCCATTATCTCTGCAAGAAATGTTCTCATCAAGAGAGAAAGAACATCTACAGTTACTGCGCCAAGTGCAACTCCAGTGCGGGCGGATCGGTTTTGCACCATCCAGATAGAGGATTGATTGATTTCGCTGGACAACTCTACCATGTAATTCATAGTATGAAGACGGTGGAGGTGAAAGAATTGAAGGAAAAGCTGAATGATCGAGACGGGCAGATTGACAAGCTGAAGGAGGAGAATGAACGTCTTCAGAAGCTTCTCTCAATCAAGGACACTACCGGAAATGGGTCTAGCTGCACGGAATGTGACATCAAACGACCGGTGGAACGGCTGTATATCTGCGAAGATTGCGATCGGATAATCTGTGGAGATTGCAACTTTGATTCGCATCAAATCCATTCTGTTTCACGAATTCTTGGAACAGCATTGGATCAATTGAGAGAGAAATATGATGCGAGATATACAGAGACAATCGAAGGAATTGCCATCAATCTGGAATCACTTCAAAAGAATGTGAATGAGGCTGTTAGGAGGGTATTGATTGCTGGAAAGGAACGTCTTTCTCTCATCAATCAATCTTCGAAATATGAACAAGCTGAGAAGATTGTCAACAATGTCGAGACAACAACTGAACTACTAGAGAAACATTGCCATGAATACTTTCCGGCTGCCCGCAAATTGGCCACACGATTGGAGGAGCTCGAGCTGCTATTGAAATGAGAACAAAAATGATACCATACGTTTTTTTACTGTTGATAGTTTTGTTGAATAAATATTTTTATAGATCTAAAAAGTGTGTTTTTTTCTGCTCTAATAAAAGCGTTGGTTGCACGCAGTTATTTAGAAAATTTTTAAGGTGGTGTAGACTTAAGGTGCTTTCGCATTAACGGGGGTGCTGAATTTTTTCTATTGGTCCAGAAATGCCTAGTAAA